GCATGAGCACGTCCATCACTTCCCCCAGGGTGGGTGGGTGGGAAAAATTTTCAAGTGTGGGCCCACGCACCACAGCTTGAGCAACACAGTTGCCTCGGACATCAAGCGTTTCCCATGCCCACACATGAAATGCATGAATTAAACTTTCTGCAGAAAACATCCAAAATTCCGAATGCTTCGATAAAACATTCTGACATTCAATCAGATTGTTTGTCAGTCACAACTCGGAACATGTTTCGGGAAAACCGCATGCGCAAAAAGCGAGTTTCAGAAAAGCATGTCATTTCAGAAACATTGCGGGCTATAAAGCATTATGAGACACGTCTCAAAGGTAGCGTCTGCAGCTGATATCCTACCACTGCTGTGCTGGCATGGCACCATCGTCGGTAGCGGCACTTATAAACTGTTGCGCTTGGGCCTTGCAGCAGCTGGAGGACAGCTTCATACAACAAAGGTGTGTTCCGTTTTTCAGCTTCATCATCACCGCCATCCTGCGGCTGTTTCTGGATCGTACGCGGATAGCTGGAGGGCTACACAAACGACGACGATGAATTGTTCCTCTTGGGCCTTGCAGCAGCTGGAGGACAGACTCCTGCAGCGAAAGGTGCACTCCCGTATCTGCTCGTTGATGACGGCGGAGACGACGACGCATGTTTGAGTTGTTTGAATTTGTCGGAGCGCGACTGCATACTTGTACATCTCAGCGTTGGGCAGAGAGAGACGACTTCATCAGCAGCACATAACCTACCAGCGTCGAACTTTGAACACGCACACTCGACGAGGGGAGTTCTGACACGCCAATCTGCCCCCGAGCGGGGAGCCTGCGTGCCCGGTTGCGCCTCGGGCTTGATCGTTGTCCGACACAACGATATGAAGTCGGACCAACGCATTTGATGCAATCTAAAAAAGCCAAGAAAGCCAAAAAAGCCAAGAAAGGGAAGAAGAAAGCCAGAGCCAGGAAGGCGGAGCGACAAAAGCAAAGTTTGGGTGAACAAGTTTTTTTTTTGCCCGCACGGGCGCTACTCTTCATTCCGGAGTTATATGGGTGAACAAGTTGTGAGCAACCCGGACTTGCCGCGCAGGGAACGACTGGGCTGAAGCCCCCGCTCTTGTCGCTCCACAGCGCTGGCAGTGTGGCACCCAGCACATGACGTACCGCGGGAGAAGTTTGTGACGGTGGAGGACGCATGGAAGTGACCCATAAGCAGGAGAAGTATGGGATTCGGTGGGACGGGCTGGCTCGAAAGAGTACGAGTTGGAGCAGCTCTCCACGGCCATACAGACCACCGGGATTCCGGCTGGCCAAACAGGATCGCAAGGTAGAAGCCAGAAGTCGGAGAATTAGTAGAAACTCCATGGCACCTGTTAGGTCCGCCAATGGGGACACTGGCAGCGCGAGTCGGGTTTGGGTCGCGGGGCCTCTCCGCACCTGCCTAGTAGGTACAGACCCCCGCGGTGGCTTCAAGACATCATCGGAGCCTTTATTGAGGCACCAGCCCTCTTCGCCACTCCAAATCGCCTACAGTCCCTCAAGGAAAGACCCAGGGGATTACCTTTGCTGCCGTGTTGGGTATCCTGGACCACTCCACGGGCGAGTTCTATGACCAAAACTTATTCGCATCTTCTTAGGCTCACCTCAGCCTTCGCATGGTCCTTCGGCCATCCTGGCAGAGGCAGAACTGAAGAAGTCGATGCTTGACTTTCTGTCTAGGTACGAAGGGTGCAATCTTTCGCCCCTTCCGCTCAGCATGGGCAAGCAATCGCTGACATTCTGGCGGCAAACCTGCAAGAGACATGCCTGACCTTTGGTGGCAGGCTGGCGGTACACTACTCGGCGCTAGCGCGCTGGGCCCATGGAAGGAACAAGGAGGTGTGCTGGCAGCGCTGGCAGTTTCGA